TTCAAAAAATGGTCGGATTCCCCCCTGATGGCCCTTCGCGCACCTTTGCACCACCACATGTGCAGTCATTTCCGTCAGAGGCAGTGCCATCAGTGTTGCCGCAGGCGGCGGGAGGACTTTGGCAGACCGAAGGTTCATCTACGATGCAGACAGTCCCTGCCACGCACACCTGCGACGGGCATTGTACTACACAACAAGTGCGCTGATGCACAGCCCCCAATTCAGCCCATCTTGCACCTCCGTGCCCCCGCATAAGCAGTCCGCTTGGTTTACGATGCTGGCATCTCCACAGAGTGTGCTCGGCGCAGCCGGATCCTGCTCGACCACGTTGTCGAGGATCGAGTCACGGTCGCCCTCATCCGCGAAGACGAAATCCACGATGCAGCCCGCCAGGATCGCATCCAGCTCATACTCCTGGCTTGAGAAGCCAACCCTAAACCTCCAAAGTCCCCGTTGCCTCCAGTTCCCGTCCCTCCCAGCCCCCATCCTCGTCATCGAGGCCAGGGTGGGTGTCAGGAGTTCTTGGAGGATACACGGCCGATGCTAGGAAGTTCGTGTCGCCCTCGGTGCAGGCAGCTCTTACGCCGCCTTCGGTTAGACCACCGAGCGTCGGGTCGAGCTGGAGCTGCCGCTCCACCGCCGGCCCAGGGCCTTGACCGGCATTGGTGTTCCTGTGCTCTTGCGCTCTCTCCCATGATGCAGAAGTGAAGGGCTTACATGGAGAGACTCACGGCAAGGGACCTGCGGTCGTGAAGCCTTGAGGTACCTACCCTCTCTTGTAGCATCTACGTAACTCCGCTCCCCAAAATTACCCCGAAAAGGCGTCCCAGAGCACAACCAGGGCTCTCCGGGATTCGGCAGGCGCACGCGGCACTGTTCAACTGCACCGAGGTGCAAGTGCCGTGCGAGGTAACGCCACGATGCTCACAATCGACCCCATTGGTGTTGATGATGCCGGCCTGTCTTGTTGTGCCGCCGGTGTCGGTCACGTTGACGTTGACGCATTCGGTGCCCAATGCTTCGCACACGTCGTGGCAATTTTTTCCGGCTACCGAGTTTTTGTAGCGGAACACGCACACTCCTGAGAAGACGTCTGAAGACAAGAGCTGACGGCCCCAACCATCACCACGAGCCCTACAAGATCCTACAACACAAACAAAAAATCAGCTGAACTTCCAAGAGCAAGCTTCCGGTAGGATTACCGAAGCCCTGCAACCTGCCCAAACCGTCCTGAGACTGATCTCAACAAGTGCTCCATGCACCCTGATAGACGGAAAAACTCTGACATTGCCAGGTTTCAACTTACGGAAACTGAAATTCCAGCTGTTGACTCAAGGCACAACGTTCCTAAGATTGAAGATGTCCGTGTTTGCGTCGCAATCTCCCTTGATCTCAAGGTTTCCACCGTGGACGTCGTGGACCTGGGAACAACCATCCAGCAGACTGCGAGCAGGATGTCGGTGACTTTCGAAGCTTGCCTATACGACCGACAGGTCCGAGTCTAGCGTTCTAAAGTCCAAACCAAACGAGGCACGGCATTGATTGACTCGAGTGCTTCGCGTGCCCACTCGCAGTCGTTGCTCAGCGCTACTGGTCCCGGTGGAGGTGGAGCAGGGGCTCCTTCAAACCCTCCTTTAACCTGAAACACTAAACCCACCGCTGAAAGAAACAAAATGGTCACTGAAAGGAGGACGGCGTCGAATTGTTGACTGTTTCGTCTGCTATGTCTGGAAGCCCTACCTCACCGCCACCATTTTACACATGCAAACGTGATAACCTGTTCACCGGCATGGCACACATATGATGACCAACAGAAGCAGATTTCATTCACAAAGACCGCTCAACTTCTGATGCCTATGACTCTGACCACAACTGCGTCGTAGTCTACTACTACTACTACTACTACTACTACTACTACGACTGCCACTACGACTACGGCTACTGCCACTACTGCCACTACGACTACGGCTACTGCCACTACTGCCACTACTGCTAGTACTACTCCTCCTCCTCCTGCTCCTGCTGCTGCTGCTGCTGCTGCTGCTGCTACTACTACTACTACTACTACTACTACTACTACCACCACTCTACTACACTACTACACTACTACAGTACTACACTACTACACTACTACACTACTA